AGTGTCCCATGGAAAAGATAAGGGGTAACAGGCACAAGTTACTCCCAGGGAGATTCCAGCTGGACACAAGGAATATTTTTCACAATGAGAACAATCAGCCATTGGAATCGTCTCCCCAGGGAAGTGGTGGATTCCTCAACACTGGACATTTTAAGATTCAGCTGGACAGAGTGCTGGGACATCTAGCTTACATCATGCTTTGCCCAGAAAGGTTGGACCAGATGATTCTTGAGGTCCCTTCCAACCTGGTATACTACGATTCCATGATTCTTACAGTCCGTTGATGCTAGCATAAAAATCTCTTGCCTACCATTAATATTTTTAATTCTTTTATGTGAATGTGTAGCTGTTGGAAATATTACTACTGACAGCCTCTGAGAGAAATGTCCTTTATATACCCATAGATGGTCCAGCAGCTCAGGCAGTAGCATCAGTTTCAGAAGAGACAATATTCTTGCTTGTGATCCTGCTTGAAGACCTGTGGGAAATCTACAATAATCCAATGCCCCTCAACAATCTGACACCAGACTTGGTTCCTCATTACCTTACCAGGAATTGTGAGATGCTGACTGTGACAGTGTGGCAATGTAATCACCTAAGGCTGATATATAGTTTCAACACAGCATACATAATCCAAGTGTCACTATTGATAAGTGCCAAGTATATCTTAGAACTATTTCAAAGAGCAATCTGGACAATTAATCTCTTCTACCCACCAAATTACTAACTTTTTTAACAATTCTTCTAAGAATTGTCCCTACAATTGGTCATTTTAATACAATTCTGTGTACAAGTGACAATAACACTACCTTCTTACTATATGTGTCACCATGCACTCAGCAGGTTATAATTTTAGTCACTTTAATAGTGTATAAATTTGTAATCAGCCAATAAGAACTACAAGCTTAAGCAGCAACATCAACCCCTTTAAACCCCACAGTGTAGAGCCACTCTCATAGCCCTCAGGTCTCTGAACTTAGCCTAAAGCAGAAAAATTTATTCAACAGTTATTGCACTTGTTTTGTGATCAGAATGCTTCTCCTGTGCTAGCAAAAAACCTGTCAATTTTCTTGAAACCTGGTAAGAGCACAATCCAAGGTAAAGTGGAAGTTTACATGAAGTCATGACCTACTTGAAAGAACCAGCTTCCCTTAAGAGCTCTGGATGGTTGGCCAACATGGGTTTAAAAGCACCTCTGAAGTTCAGTGTTGGTTTCCACGTAACCTGTCATTTACGTCTTTTTTGTCAGAACTCTGCTGCTCTTTGGCCTCTGATGAGGAGATAGTCACAAGTATTAGTTCAAGATGGGGAAAAAGAAGTCTAAGCAGACATGTTCTGCATCAATCTCCTTACAACAAAACAACAACAGTGGAAGCAATGGGTCTCAATGAGCACAGATGGTGAGGACCTTAGTTTAACACCTCACCCCTAAGATTGCATTGCTGATAATTAGCATACTTCTGAAAGCCTCCTCCAACTACAAGGGAGAAAAGAAATAGGTAGCTACATATAATAACTCCTTCAATATATGTAGCAGTGAGAAACAAAACTGGTCAAGTGTTGGGGCAAGATTCCCAAGGCAAAAAATCACCTTGAAGTATGTATTGTATCTGGTGACATTTGTCAACCCATGTGGCATGAATTGAAACTGTGGTGCACACCAGCCCTGCTTGGGTAACAGCTAGAGTGCTTCAAAGGCTTGGTAACTCCCTGAAAAGCAAAGCAAACATTGCCTACAAAGGATTCTGTGGATAATTGTTAAGAAACATTTTTAACTGCTTGTGATACCCACAGCTTCTGGACACGAACCCTTTGCAGCTTGGCAGCAAGCAACATCACTGATCACAACATCATGCATTTTGTGGAAATAGTAAAACTAGCCAAACACATGCCTCAAGAAAAAGTAAAAAGCCGCAAGACACCACACTTAGCTCAAGGCAGTCCTGCTCCCTCAGAAGGGAGCAGATAAGAACTGCAAGCTCCAAACTGAGTTTCAGTATGGACTGTCAACTACCAAGCTTCATGGACTGTCAGCTACCAAGCTTCCCACCAGCCATAACAAGTGGTTCCCCACTAGCAAGAACTTTTTTTTTTTACTTAGGCCTGTACTTCTTTCCCTGATATTCCCCAACCCAAGCCTCAAAGCATTATCAAGTAAGTCCTGTGGTGTGGGAAATAATTTTGTGGTTGCTTTCTGGATTGTGGTACAACATGGAAAATTAAGTTCATATTATTTAAACATTTGACATTTTTCTCCTGGGAAATCATAACAGTCACAGTATTTGCCTTTTGCATATGTTCAAACATTCTATTAACATGGAAATGTGCATTTTTTGATATTTTCTTTTATACTCTTTTGGCAGCATCTTTTGATTTGAGTGAAACCAAACAAGAGCTACCTATTATTGCTGAATTCAAGTGATTACTAAAAAGAAGAAAATCTG